AATAATGTTTAATAATGGATTTATTAAGCGCATGTTTGCCCAAGCGCTCAAACAGGAAGCTTTTTTTAAACAAACAAACCAACCCCAAAGAGCAGTCAGATGGCCCTAATCGCAATCACCTGATTTTCCAGGGGGCAGGAAAACCCGGGAGCATTGCAGGAGTGAGCTCGCTTCGGCGCGGGAGGCGGATTCGCCTGTCTGATCAGCAAACTTAAATGTGGGAGGGAACGGCGGCGAACCCCGATCAAAAGGACCGTGTGACCGCACCCCTAGTTCCACTTTCCAGTTTTGCCCCTAGTCTTACTCTCTTCCTTTATTCAACTCTGTGGCTTCAGCCTGTCCCAGTGTGAAGATTTAAGGCCAGTCAAACTGACAATGCTTCCTGCCCTCTTGTACATTAGAAGTGTGGATATTGATAATGGGCAGCTCTACAGATGAGTACTGGAAGCTTCACCATCACAATATGATAAAGATGTTCACTTCATTGATTTGCTGAATAACAGAATTTGCACTATCAGGGCAATCGCATTTTTTAAAAACAATCCTGGACCAGACCAACAGCCTCCTGTTTCCAGCTCTAGCTAGCCAGTCAAGTTCACAAGCAGTGAATGAACCTAACTGCCTTCCCCTTCCTTATTTACTCTGAAACTCATTTACCAAGTCTAGTTTTGAGAGATCCTTATGGAGTACTCCATAGCCTACTTGGGATTTCACTATCACAAATTATCGGATGTTATCTGAAAATGTGGTGACCTTCTTGCTTAAATCCAAGTTTAGATGCCCTCTGCTTGTATTGGTTTTGGTTTTCTAGTGCTCCTTCTATCAGAGACCTTAAAAACAACGAGTTGGGTGTGGGGAACTGGAGTGTCAGACTAGGACTGGTGACTTGAGTCTGGGCAAGTCCTGGTCCCATGTTTTTTGGCCAGTCACTATCTAGGATTGCAATTTGCCAATCTGGGGTGGGGGCTGGGGTGGGGGGCCAGAGTTGTGACTGACCTTCTCACCGCAGAGATTAGATCTCTTGGAGAATATGGCAGCTTTGAAGGGTAGACTGTATAGGATCATATCCCTGCTGAGCTCCCTACCCTTCTGAAACTCCACCCTCCCCAAGCTCTGCCCCTAAATCCCCAGTAATTTTCCTATCTGGAGTTGGCAACCCTACTCTCTTAGTGTATCTATCATACCTCTCAAGTAATTATGAGGATAAAACAGAAGAGGGCAGAGCTATGTGTTCCATTCTGAGTTCCTTGGAGGACAGATGGGATAAAAATATAATTTTCAGTGTAAGAAGACCAAGTTGGGCATGGAGATCAGTGGGTACATGAGGCCAAACTCACCGCTTTTCAGCAAACAGGAAGTGATACTGCAGCTAGGGTTGCCAAATGGGGCCGGGGGGCGGGGAATCCCCCGCTTTGGAGGCCCGATTTCCGCCGCGGCGGAATCGGGCCCCGGGGGGAACTCCACCCCTTAAGCTGCATCACCAGAGGTGATGCAGCCATGTCGCTCACGTTGGGGGCGTGGCCCACATCGTCGGGGGGAAAACCATATGGTTTTCCCCCCGACGATGTGGGCCACGCCCCCAACGTGAGCATGCGGCACGTCACTTCCTGTGACGTGCTGCCGGCGCTTGCTTGCTTTGCGCACACATGCGTGCGTGCATCCAGCACGAACTCCCGGACCCCAGCGAGGCTTCCCCGCTCCGAGGGGTGAGTCGACTTGGCAACCCTAACTGCAGCTGAAACTGGAAGTGACATCACAGAAGCTGAGGACTATATACAGGCTTAGGCTGTGGTGAGAATGCTCCAGAGAAGATGTACTGCAGATTGTTCTCTAAGAGGGAGCCCCAGGCTGATACAATAGGTCCATGTGATCCTGCTGCCAAATTCTTGAATTTACTTGATTCTTCCTCAGGTTGGTGACAAAATGGATGCAACTTGGCCATCTCCCTTTGCTATACATGGAGAGGCTCACATTGTTATATATCAATATGGGGACATTCCTTCTGAGAAAATCCACTGTGGTTGGAAATAATGGGTGGAAGGATCAGGCAACTACCAAATGGATTGGATCATAGACTCATCTGACGCGTTGCTTCTAGATGATTCAAACTTGTGGTTATTTTCAGCTTCATAGTGAATGAATCAAAGCCATTTTATTTCCTGTGTTCTCCGGAGTGCTACTCAGTGCTTTGGAAGCTGACTCATGGTTCTGGCAAAATCCAAAGAGTCAAGCAAATATTGCATACATTTTCTTTACTCAGCTGTACTGCTGAAGCTAAATATAGTATTGGCACGCCACACTGCATTGGTTTGCACTCAGTTCACATCTTCAGGATTATTTACAGAATCACAAGGACTCTTTGAAGTTAAAGCTCAGATTCGGAAGCAAAAATATGCATGGGGAGGGATTTCACAGCAAATTCAGTTTGCTATCAGATTGAAACTGTAGGGTGTATATATGTATCGTTTAAACCCTCTGACCAATTGCACTCTCACATGCCTGGGTGTAGCTACCTGCAGAGAGTACTGATCTCGGACTACAGTGACCCACTCAGCCATGAAGCTTACCCAGGGCCACTCAGCCTTGCCTGACCCAGGGCCCGTCCTTCTTTCTCAACCTAGCTGAGTGGGGTGGAGTTTAAACAAAAGAGTGTATACCACTCTGAGTTGCTTGGAGGAAGGGCAAGATAAAGATGTAATACAAAGGTTTGTGTGTGTGTAAACTCAGTACTCTGGCTACAAACCCCGGTCTTACAACACATATCAAGCTGAGCAGCTATGTAGTGGGATAGGCAATTTCAAGATGAGATGGCGACACTCAATCTTTATTGTACCCATTGTTTCCTTCCCCAGAATCCCCCCTTCCTGCCACTCCCCCCCCCGAAAAGTGCCATCAAGTTGCAGCCATCTTATGACAACCCTATAGGGTTTTCAAGGCAAGAGATGTTCAGAGGTGGTTTGCCATTGACTGTCTCTGCATAGCAACCTTGGAGTTACGGTTGCCAGTAGAGGCCGACAAGCCACCAGGGGGCTTACCAGGAAGCTCCAGGAGAGGGGAGGGAAGAAGTTCAATTGAACTCCAAAGCGAGTTTTTGGTGAGCTGGCCGTTGTATTTAAAGGGACTTTTAAAGGCCTTCCTTTTATGTTCCTTTTAAATGTCTTCCCTCCATTGGAAATCATTGAATGATTCAGAAGCCAGAATTAAGATTGCTGGGAAAAACATAAACAACCTCAGATATGCAGACGATACCACTCTAATGGCGGAAAGTGAAGAGGACCTAAAGAGGCTCTTGCTGAGGATAAAAGAGGAGAGTGCAAAAGTTGGCTTGAAGCTCAACATCAAAAAAACTAAGATCATGGCATCCGGCCCCATCACTCCTTGGCAAATAGAAGGAGAAGTCATGGAAGTAGTGACAGACTTCACGTTCCTGGGATCCAAGATCACTGCAGATGGTGATTGCAGCCATTAAATTAAAAGACGCCTGCTCCTTGGGAGGAAAGCAATGGCAAACCAAGACAGCATAATAAAAAGTAGAGACATCACCCTGCCAACAAAAGTCTGTATGGTCAAAGCAATGGTATTTCCAATATTACTGTATGGCTGTGAGAGTTAGACTATAAGAAAGGCCGAGCGCCGAAGAATAGATGCTTTTGAATTATGGTGCTTGAGAAGACTCTTGAGAGTCCCCTGGACTGCAAGAAGATCAAATCAGTCAATCCTAAAAGAAATCAACCCTGACTGTTCCCTGGAAGGCCAGATACTGAAGCTGAAGCTCAAATACTTTGACCACCAAATGAGAAGGGAGCACTCACTGGAGAAGACCCTGATGCTGGGAAAGATTGAAGGTCAAAGAAGACGGGGACGGCAAAGGATGAGATGGTTAGACAGTGTCATAGATGCAACAAACATGAAATTAAGCAAACTCCGGAGCATGACGGAAGACAGGAGGGCCTGGTGTGATGTGGTCCATGGGATCGCGAAGTATCGGACTCGACTGTGCGACTGAACAACCACCACCTCCATTGGAAATAATGGAGAATGGGGGTACCTTATTTAGGAGCACATAGAATTGGACCCTCTGGTCCAATCTTTTTGAAACTTGGGGGGGGGTTGAGGAGAGGCATCAGCAGCTATGTGGAAAATTTGGTGTCTTGGTCTGAAACAACAGCCCCCCCCCCCCCGAGCCCCAGATACCCACTGATTGATTCTTGTTCGGGGGGGGGTTGCCTTGTAGAGATGACGGATATGCTTTGCTTCTACTTCTGTAGCTCACATATTGTGGCTACTAAAACTATTCTGTGACAATCAGTCAGGGCTACAAAGAGTTTAACTTGAGATGATGGTGAAATTATGCAGCAGTGGAAGATCCAAGGGAAATAAGTCTTGTGGAAAGGCTATACATAAGTCTTGTGGAAGACCCTTTCATTTGAATAAGTAACAAGCACTGTCTTACAGTGGCCTCACCCACATTCTGAAAAGCTTGGCAGGTACCAAGGGACCTATGTCGAACATGGAACAATTGTCCTAACTCTATGACAACTGTATGTCTTTGATGGTAGCACCTTCAGCACATTCTTTTATAAGCCCCTTTTAGACATTCAATTTTTGTCCACTAGCCATAGATAATGGGAGCATGTGGTACATATGATCACCATTATGTGTGAATGTATTTTTCCCATATGTGTACATCTTCAGTACGTGCATACACACATTGTCAAAAATCCAGCTGTTCATGGATGGAAAATATACATATTTTGCCCCATTTACACAAAATGCCAGCCATGCATATCAAGAGGATTGTGGGTGTTATGCTTTTCCATTACTTGTGGCTGCTGCCTACCAAAATAAAATATCTGCAAAGGGCTATAATCACTCCCAGCCGTTAGAAACAGGGGAAGGGGTGTTAATTAGGATAGAGAGGAAGGAAGGAAGGTAGGAAGGAAGGAAGGAAGGAAGGAAGGACTTGTGCTAAAAGTTGTCCAATCTTTTTGTTTCCACAGTTCCACCAAAGATCTCCAATATCTCTTCAGATATCACTGTGAATGAAGGCAGTAATGTAACCCTGATATGTATGGCAAATGGACGCCCTGAACCTGTCATCACCTGGAGACACCTCACCCCTACAGGTATGAATCCTTGGTCCGTGACATGAACCAACCTGTTGTGTAAGCACTTCAAGTTGTTCCTTTCTTTCCTGTTTTGGGCATAAAAGAGCTATCTGGTCATTGACTTGACAAAGTACTGGAGGCATTTCTAGATATCAGAGCATGCCAGACACTCTCTCAACATCAGGACTTTCTGCTTGCAGGTTAGCAGTTGTTTTCATCTAACAGTCAGCCATTTTTGTCATTGCCAGATACATTATAGCAATAAGGGAAACCCATCACTAGTAGCAGGCAAAGAGAAAAGGCCTTGCTCTTCTATTAACGAGTTCAAGGTGAGCTTTTCAAAACCACAAAATTGGCTTTCTATATGGTGCCAATAGGCACTTCCTACCTACACCCTTAAGTCACCATAGAGTGACTTAAAAAGTTTTTCCCCCCACCCTAGCTGGGTAACATAAAGGAAGCTGCTAGAAAGGATTCATTGAATGAGAAGGCAAATTGGCCCATTGACCATTTAATCACTGCTTTGATACTTTAATGTTTGGTTGCCTTGGAAAGGGCACTGTCATTAGCCTGACCCATAGAGCAACCACTTCAGAAAGAAAAGAACTTTCTGATTTTTTAAATCTCTATAAAGTTGGTATTAAATAGAAAAGGTTTGCTTACAAGTCTCCGTCATGGCAATATGAAAGGTTGACGCTGAAGGAGTCGACATGGTAAGAGCCTTTTAATACATCCTTCAGCAAAAACAACCTCAGTTTTATAATTGATTGTGTGGAACAGGATTCACTGCCTTTGGGCTCACCATACAGTCACCGAACTACTACCAGGCTGCAACAGTGTTCTGTTTTTATGCAACAACAATAAGTTATTCAATGCTTAAAATGTTCATCCAGGCTTTGGGGATGTTGGTGCCTTCCCTGTGTCTGAAATTATTAAACAAACATTTCATAATAAGCAAAACAATGTGTGGGGGAATCAACGACAAGCCATGAAACAGTCAAAAAACATAGAATAGATGAAACCACCATTGTCTACTCTGACTGGCAGCACTGACTACTAAAAAAAGAAGAAAGAAATTAGATGCTGGGGATTGGACCTGGGATCTTCTGCATGTAAAGGAGATGCTTTGTCCAGCCCCTCTCTTACCTATCTTTTGGTCTTGTATTGCTCCAATCAAAATTGTCAAAGCAATGTGGCTGCAATCCTAAGAACACATTCCTGGGAGCAAACCCCACTGAATAAAATGGGACTTAAGTCTGAGTAGACCTGCTTAGAATTGTTCTCAGAGTCCCACAACAAGATACCATGAGTCCAAAGCTGTCTTAAATCATATCTATATCCTGACACTATGTTTATGACCAAGTTGGTAGAGAACCCCCATCTTATTTTAAATAGGTCTATTTTTATTCATCCCTAAATCTGACCAGGCTAGTTTTTTTTTTCTCCATAAAAACCTGGTCCTTTAGCTTTGAGTCTACCTGTAAAATGGTAATATAGACTCTTGAATAACCAGTAAATGCTGCACTAGATTATAGTGGTCTTTTCAAATTAAGTATTATATTGTCCTCAGTAAAATTACTTCTGGGTCTTCAGATTACTTATAACCCTATCATTGTTTCAGGTGGGGTAGCTATGTTAGTCTATAGTAGTAGAACAAACGTTGGATCCAGTAATTCCTTAAACAAAATTGTCCAAGGTACAAGCTTTCATGAGCTGACTTCTGACAAAGTGAGCTTTGACTCACAAAAGTTTATACTCCGGAAATTTTTGTTAGTCGTTAGGGTGCTACTGAAAATTAATGTTGTTCAACTGTATCTTAGTTATGATCACCATTAAAATTCATCTCCACTGAGGTCTAATTTTGTTATAGTACATTGACATATGTAAATAAGTATCTTTTACACAACTGATCCAGGACTGACAAAAAATTTCCTTCAGTTTCCAAAGGGTATAATTTCCATGCTTATTTACATCCTGTTATGATTTAACTAGAGAGTAATCATTTTTCAAAAGGATGAAATAAGAACTGTGAAATTTAACTTCTGTTGATGTCTGTTGAAAATCCTATATGTTTCCACTGTCAGTGATCCTGGTCAGCTGCTGATTCAGTGTGAACTCGCCAGTATCGTACTATGGACCCAGAATGCAGAAACACAAAACCACTCCTCAGAGGTGATAATTTCCATAGTGGAAACCATGTTACCACATTGCTGCAAAGCCAGAAAGAAGTCTTGTGGCAACTTAACATACTAACAGATTTATTATAGCAATTTTTTTGTGGACTGGAGTCTGCTGTATCAAGTATATGAAATATATGTTCAGTTGTTGAAATACACACACATTTATGTGTGAATACGCATACAGGAGAAAGGGAAAATGTCAGAGGGCAATAGAATGCAGGCACTACAGTCTGTGAGGTTTCTATGCAAGCTCAGTTATAGATCTCTGACGATTAAACAATTACATCTCCAGATATTATTTTTGTTGGGGAGAAATTCAGGCTTCATGCAGATTAATGAGGTACACAGAATCAAGCCCAGACTGTGCATTTAGATTGAGATTCTATCCTCTTAAAAAGATGACGTTTGATAATATACTTATGAGCAAAGAGGAGCTTAATGCTGTCATAGCAGAAATTCCTAGCGCAAGAAAGAACTGGAAAATTAATCAGCAGGCATAGTTTAGAAATGATACACAAACAAGAGACAAGTGATAGGAACTGAAAAGGAAGAGATTAACTGTGGTCCCATCATCCTTAAATCAGAGATCAGAATGTTAAATTATGAGACAAACCTTCTCATTTATCCACAGGATTTTGTTAAGTGGGGTTTCTGGGAGAGTTCATGTGCCTTTTACAGCTGCATGATATACAGTTGTTCTATGAGTATAGTTTCCCCCATCACTGACTCTGCATGAAGGAAAGAGCTGCACCTCTTGCACTCATGTCTATCATACAGCTATGCAGGTACTTGCCTATCCCAACACTTACATACAGATTGGGGGGGGGGAATGAAACAGTCTAGTAACTTCTCTATCCTATATTAATAGCATCAGTATCCTATATTAATAGCACCAATACTACCAATAATAATGATAGTAAAAGAAAAATCTTGCGCTGTGTTTTGTGGCTTAGTCCTATGCCCAGTACAAATAGCACTACAATAAGCAAGAGAGGAAAACATGCCAAGAAGAAACAGGGGCGGAAGGAGGGAATGGAGCCAATAAGAGAAATGTGAACAGAGCCAGGAAGAGAGAATGTTTCCTCCACTGAATTCTGAAATGCCTGGCTGTTCCCTTCTGTTGTTGTCTGTATTAGGCGTAAACGTGCCAGCCACTGCAGTGTGCTGGAAATATAACCTAACCCCCCCCCCCCATAATTAAGTTGTATATTGCAATCTGCTAACTTCCAAGACCAAAATTTTGCTGTGAGGGGCACCTTATTGAACGTTTGATCTTCCTGCTTACTGGAAAATCAGTCTTCATTACCATCTAGCAGTTTCCTTTGATATTATCAGGGAAGCCATCCAACATCATCTACCGAGCACTGGTGTGTATGAGGAATTAGATAGATGTTCCTTACTGTGAAAATTTTACATGAGGAAGCCCCGTTATCGATCCTCTGTGTTCTTCACTTTCTGGAGCAGTGGGAAGTTACTTAGTTAGTGTTAGCTGGGTTTGGTTTACTTTGGAAGGGAAAGCACTGGAGATTTATGGTGCCAGTTTTTACAATGTTTGCTTTATTACCAGGTAAAAAAGTAAAGGTAAAGGTTCCCTTGCTCGAAAGCCAGTCGAATCCAACTCTAAGGTTGCGGTGCTCATCTCCGTTTCAAAGCCGAAGAGCCAGCGCTGTCCAAAGACGTTTCCGTGGTCATGTGACCGGTATGACTAAACACCAAGGCGCATGGAACACTGTTATCTTCCCACCGAAGTGGTACCTATTTATCTACTTGCAATTTCTTGCTTTCGAACTGCTAGGTTGGCAGGAGCTGGAACTAGAGACGGGAGCTCACTCTGTCTTGTGGCACCCGGGTCTCGAACTGCTGAACTACTGACCTTTCACAGCCTGCAGTTCAGCGTCATAACCACTTGAGCCACTGCATAAATGGAATGCAAAGCAGCAGATCCTCTACCCCACATCAAAACCTTGCACCCAACCTTCTGCCATTTCACAACTGCCTTTGCCTCTTGTTGCACATTCCTCTTTCTTTTTCCCCCTCTCACACTGGCTGTATGTGTTTTATCTTTTGCAAACTTTGACTGTTCAAAGATGCATGGAAACATCCCCAGCTACTGGGAGATCATCTCCAACTAATTTAGGGTTGCCAGCCTCTGAGTGGGGCCTGGAGAATCACGGAATCACACCTGATCTCCAGTTTATAGAGATCAGTGCTCCTGGATAAAATGGCTGCTTTGGAGAGTGGACTCTGTGGCATTACACCCTTCTGAGGACCGTTCTCTACCGAATCCCCACTCCCTCCAGGCTCCACCCCAAAATCTCCAGGAATTTCCTGACCTGGAGTTCTCAGCCCCCACTAGCTCCCACTGAGGAAGCATGAACAACCACCCCAGGGATCGTTTCGTAGAAAAAGAGCTAGGGGAACTCATTAGCATAACTCATTAGCATATGCCACACAAGGCTAGCGGGAGTGCAAGGAAGCCCCACGAAGGCCCTCCCTGGCCCCAGGCAGGCAGGGGTGGGGAGAGGCAGGGAGGAAGCAACTTACGCTCCCTCTTCTCCTGCCTCCTCCTGGTTGAATGAGGGCCAGAAGCAGGGCGGACGGAAGCAGGGGGCGGGGCTTCGTCATGTGCCCCGCCCCCCGTACCTCACCTGGGGGAACTGCGATCCCCCGCGATCCCCCCCGAAATGACCTCTGAACCACCCTGAATTGCATTCAGACATCATGAACAAAGTTGTGTGCAAAAGGCACAGACTCAGATTGCTGTCCTACTTCTTCTCCCTTCCTGTCCAGAGTACAGCTAAAGGCTTCCTGGGTTTGGTTGCCTTGAATCAAACATTT